CCAATATTATATTCTTATTTTGTCTATAAATAAGTCTTATAAGACTTAAACAGGCATATAAACATCGTGCAAACTTTACAAAAGGTAAGACGTTCTATTAGTTCTACATTTTTCAGTTATAGTTTTAATATGTAATTCCCAAAATCTCTTACAAAATTGTTAAAATTAATTCATAATTTGTGTAATTTTATAATTGTGTTATATTTATAAAATTTCACAAAAGTAAGAAAATATTTACGCACAAGTTTAACAATTAACTTGTGAAAATATTCCTTAATGAGATACGTTACATTAATCACTTTCTATTCTATAGAATATGATATTAAAATATAGATTATTTTATAAAAGAGAAAATGCAAACCATTTTTTATTATGGCACAGTTTATAAATAAAATTTTGAGTAAATTACTTTTTCTATAGATAATATATGTACATATTTTAGTAAAATATAAATATTATTTATTACTAATATAAATTTAATGTTATATAAATATTGTATATATTTATTCTATAAGAATATTTCCACTTATATTAATATCAATTATGCATATTATATTTAACATTGTATTTGGGACCCTTTTTTGTATTTAAGAATAACGTATTTATATTTCTTTAAAGTTTTAAATATTAAAATATAAATGTTGCATATATTTTAATATGTTTCTTATTTATCCAACAAATTTAGATCCAAAGAAAAAGCTTTCTCCTAAAGCAAATATTACATATTTAGCGGTTCGTATTATAGTTTAAATAATATTATTGTTAAAAAAAGCTGAAGAAAGCTGAACGAATTAGATTGGCTAATTACATCTAATAATGATGATCATTATTATATTGTTATTACCTATCTTTATCATATTGGTATATAATTATTATGTACATTATGGACGAAATGGACGACTTATCAATCGTATACCAGGACCACCATGTTATCCGATTACTGGAAACATTTTACAATATTTACAATCACGAGGTAAGTTAAAATTTTTTATAAACTTGGTGTTGGATTAGAATAGCAATACCATAAGAATTACGTATTGTTCTGTGCCCAAAAATTAGAGAAGTGGAAAATTCTAGAGCTAGCGAGTCATCGCATTATTATTGGAAAGGGACTTTGATCTCCCTTTTGGTTTCAGAAAAGCATGCATCGTTATTTTAAAATATCCTAAGAGCATACATGTGTATCGCTATAAAATAAAGGAATGCCTCT